CACAGAATCAGCCTGTACTAAGTTTCCTGAGGGCAGGGTCCCTGCCGGGGTCACCCACCACCTAGCACAAGCAATAGGCAGAGTCAGATTCAACACATGCTTTTTGGGGTTGAAAGAAAGGCTAATATGTGTGGACTAAGGAAAAACCCCAAACTGTTGGCCCCAATTATTTCCCAATATTATCTCCTCCAGGAGAATCTAAGAGGAAGCGAAGGCTATTGTTTGGTGACTACTCCCAGGACTGGCTACATACAAGATTTGTCTGGGTTGGGGTCAAGTGCTTTCATTAAGGTAGAGCTGCATCCTTTCCCAGCCCAGGTGTTCTTGTGTGTGTGTGTGTGTGTATGTGTGTGTGTGTACACAGAAAGTGTGCTTCAGGCTGTGTATAACTGGCCTGGGGTGGACAGGACAGGGAAGGCAGAGGAAGAGCTGTTGCTCAGAGCCTGGGTGAGCCTGGCCAGTGCAGCCGAGCCAGCAGGAGCCTGAGAAGTAAGTGCCCAGTACAGAACCTGACTCTGAAAATAAATGTACCTTTATTTTTTTTTAAGCACAAAATCAATATACACTCGTAAGAAAAAAAATGTAAATATTATAATGGTGCACAGAGAAATCACCGTTATCATCAAAGTTGAAATGGAAAGTCTTCCCCCAGTTCCGTATTTCCAAAATAGCCACTATTAAGTTTGATGTGTCTCCTTCTAGATTCTTTTCAATATCTATGAAATTATCCATATTTAAATATTATATAACATATTTTAAAAAATAAATAACATCACACATTTTATCCTGTTACTTTGTTTTTGCATTTAATGTACTGCAAACATCATATTTCCATTTTAACTTACCTCCTTCAATCATGGAGAAGAGCCAAGATGATCAAGAGACCCTGGGACAGGTTCTACCTGAAGAAGGCTATTATGGATCTCGGCTCATCAGGACACCCAAGAGAATACCCCAGCTGGCCCAGTGAATACAATACTACTTCCAAACAAACTGGCAACCAGCAGCAGCACTAGGCAATGATCCAACTGGGGAGGACTTAATTAACATGCTCTGGGTTGTGTGACAGGAAACACCTCAGGTTCCCCTGGTAATGGACCAGATGCCAGTCATCCTCTTCACCAGCATCCACAGTGCCTGCCCAGCTCAGTGATGCATGCAGACCCAACTCACATGTAAACAGAACTGCCTGTCATACTCCAGAGCAGAAGAACCACGGGGGACCCTCACGGCTGTCCCCAACATCAAGGACAGAATCAAAATAGAGTAAATGCTCAAAAATGTTTGATAACTGAAGGACTGAGAAAACACCCTGGTGTTGGCAGGATGGAGAGTTTAGACCACAGCCCGTAGGACTGCCTTAGGATGCGGCAAGGCCAGGGGTAGTAAAGGAGAAAAATCAAGGAGACCATACTAAGGGCTTTATTTCAAGCAGGGAGCCCTTTGCTATAGTAACAGGATAAACTGACTAGACTGAACATTTCGACTCTGCGCCAGAGCCACGGTTTGTCCTGGCACTGGGTCTGTTAGGAGAGGGGATTTTCAGAGACATGCTCTTAATCACTCAAGGGGGATGGGGAGCTGTGGAGAAATCAAGGAAGACCTTTTCAAGGGGGGAAAAAAGGGTGGGGGATTCGGAATCTAAGGATACCTTCCCCACTGGGGTTTAGCTGGGAACAGACGCATCAGGCTGGCTGATGGTAGCTCCCCAGGGTACCGTGTTGAGGATTCAGAAGCTGCATTCCTTTTAGGAGGAAGGGGCTGCAGGACTGATGAGGGAAGTCTCTGGTGGGCACAGAAGCGAGAGTGACGTCATGGACACATAATAGCAAAAGAGCAGTGGTCTCCCCACGTGGTTCCAGTGAGAAGTCAAATTTAGATTAATGACCACATAATGGAAATCAGACTGTGGATCAGGAGTTCACTTTGTTTTGTTTTGCTTTCCACGTGAAAAGAAGGCCCAGAGAATGCCTGCCCCACCTGCACTCAATGCTGGGCAAGAAGGGATTTCAAGGTGAGACCGGCTGGCTTAGGGTCAGCGCGGAGGCCTTTTCTCTCTTCGGTCAATTCACCACCGCAGGCCCTGGAGACGCTGCCACCATCAGCGTCGGCTGTCACAGAATGAGGTCCTGGTCAGGTGATGCTGGCCCTGGGGAAAAAGGAGGAAAGGTTAAGACTGTCATCTCACTGGGGTTATCAGTCAGCAAGATCTAGGAGTCAAATTGTTTTTGTGAAGCAACACGGGGCAAAGCATTACCACGAGAACAGACTGGGGAGGGACTATGAGGTTGTCCAGGGGGTTGTTTTGTAAAAGTTCAATGAAAGACATTGCTGGGGGAAAAAGATGTATCATCTTGTCTTGAAAATGAAATTTTCCTGAAATTGAGAGAGGGCCAGTGACGTTCGAATGTCACGGCAGAGTGTGGGCCAGCATCATTCCAGAAATCGAGATAAGACAGCATCCCACCACTTGTTAAGAACTACAGGGCTCCCTAATTCTCTAATTGCCTCACCCCACTCTGTCCTCAGACTAGGCTACAAGGAGGGAATTGGCTACCTTGTCTTCAAGGCATGGCTGCTATTGCTGCCAGAGATCTCAGAGCTACTTGGTAAATTCAGATCCAGGACTTGTTGAAGGGCCTTGGTGTTCTTGGGTTAGAGCAGGAAGCTGAACTCTCTGGGCGAGGCTTGTCCGAGACGAGGCTCCAGAAGAGTCCCTGGGAATACCCTCCTCCACCTGAGAGGCACTAGCCCCACCCACCCCTGCACAGGAAAGACACACAGACATTTGTGCCCTTTGTCCTATCAGAGCATTTTCAGAAGGAAAAACTTCCAGTCACTGCTTTGAAAGGCCAAATCCAAGACAATCAGGATTGGGCTTGCTGGAAATGTCTTCCTTCCTCCTGGAGCAGCCACACCAGGGCGGCGGCGAGTGGCAGGGGGCCATGGCTCAGGCAAGTGTCCAGCGGCTCTGGGATCTGTGAAGCCTTGGCATTAAAACCCTTTGCAATTGAAGTTTAATGACATGGAAAAATGGTCCTGAACTATTAAATGGGAGGAGTGAGCTATAAAATATTGCATAACATTAGATCCCATTTGGGGGATAAAAAGAAAGTTGGAAGAATATTAACAAGGCCATGGGATTAAAGGTATTGCTATTTTGTTCTTTTTATTGGCATTTTCTATGTTTTCCTACATTAAAATGCATTGATTTTATGATAGGATTTTTTTTAAGTCACTTTCATCTGTTAAAAGGGGGATGTGGCCAGTATCTGAACACAGTTTTAAGAACCAGATTTATCCTCCCTGTCCTGAACATGACCCAAGTACAGTGACTCTTTACCCAGGGTATTTAAGTATGCAAAATGTGTTGCTACCCTTTCCCTTTTGTAAGAGAGGGCAAAAAGCCAGGAAGGCTGTGGATGTAGGTGTTTTAATAAAAAGCTAAAGCATGTGACTAAAAGCAAGCGTCCAGGGCGGGGCCTGGGCTCACTCTCATGAGCCTCATCCATCCTGCCCTTCCCTGGCTCTAGAATATGGCTCCATCCATACATCCTAGCTTGGCTCTTATACAGGACACAGGCAGCAGACAGGTTGGCGAGGCCTTCCTAGTGAGGACCACCCTTCCTAAGAGAATCTGCAGTCACCATGACTGAAACAAAATAGACTCTTGTTTTCCAGAAAATTCAGTGACATCCCACTTTGTCTTCTGAGCTCCGCAGATAACTAGTTTGGGGCTAGAGAAGGGGAAACAAGGGAGAGGAGGAGGAACTGAGGGGATATTGGAAGCTGATCACCCATCTACTTGATGTTTCTGTGTGAACATTTGTGCGCCAGATTTCGTGGGAAGCACTAGTGATACAAAGGTGAAAAAACAGTTATAGCTCTCCTGGAACTTTCAGCTGACTAGGTAGCAGAGCCTATAATAGGCGTTCTTCCTCCAGGCTGAGGCATCAGGGCAGGCTTCCTGGAGGAGGAGAGTTCTACACCGGGGTCTGGATCACAAAGAGGAGTTGTGATCCAGTAAGGCCAAGGACAAGAGAAAGGTCTAAGAAGAGGGTGTCAGGCTGGGAGAGTAGGCACAAAGGCCCAGAGGCAAGAGTGAGGATGGTGTGTGTAGGATGCTGGCGAGGATGAGGGCTTTAAGGACTGACACTTAACCTAGAGGGCAATTGGGAGCCACTGAAGGCAGTGGAACGAGGGAGTCACTTATGCAGACGTCAGTTTTCAGATCCCTTTGGTTGCTGCTGCTACTGCTGCTAAGTCGCTACAGTCATGTCCGACCTTTGCGACCCCATAGATGGCAGCCCATGAGGCTCCCCCATTCCTGGGATTCTCCAGGCAAGAACACTGGAGTGGGTTGCCATTTCCTTCTCCAATGCATGAAAGTGAAAAGTGAAAGTGAAAATGCTCAGTCCTGTCAGACTCTTAGCGAACCCGTTGACTGCAGCCTACCAAACTCCTTCGTCCGTGGGATTTTCCAGGCAAGAATACTGGAGTGGGGTGCCATTGCCTTCTCCTCGTTTGGTTGCAGTGACCTTTCTACAAGGAGAACAGGAAAAAGATAGCGTGTGGGAGGCAGAGACGGTGGCAAAGGCTGTTCTTTAGGAGCCTATTCAGTAGTGAGGTGGAGAGATGGTGTAACAGAGGGTGGGCACCCTGGTTTGAGACCTCTGTCTTGGGTTATTGAATTTATACGGTGAAGCTAATGCACTTCTCTCCAAGGGCTGAATGGGAAACAGACAGGTTAAGCTCGCTACAAACAGGTAAGTTCTGTGCCAGCCTCAGTTACTGACCACAACCAGCCACAGGTGGGCATTTCAGAAGAGCTTTTTGATGACAAGAAGGGTGGCAATTCTAGTCTTGAACTAAAACAGATCAAACAGGAAACAAACAACAGAGGGAAATTTCCGAAGTCCACATCATTTTCACCGCAAAGAAGGGGATTTAAGCTCCGGGAGGGCGCAAGGGGCAGGGAAAGAGATGCACTGACCTGGCGCTCAGGGGCTGGTCACCACGTGGTCCCCACGGATCGCCTGCAGCGAGAGCTCGTACCCAAGGAACATGGCTGCGCTCATGGGGAAGCCCCGCACGGCGTTGACAGTGATGCCTCTGAAAAACACCTTTGGCGGGAGGCGGGGTTATCACAGGACACTGACCGGCACCCTCCTCGGGCATCCACACCTCCGCCCTCACCCACATCACTTCCGAAGGCGCAGTTCTTCGCAGGCCCAGTACACATGCGCTAGACACTGTCGGCTCACAGGTGAGTCTGGTGAACCCCACGTACGCTTGCTTAAAACCGTGCGCTCTCTCATGAACATGCGAACACATGCTTGGTTCTCGGACTGCAAGTTACAGCTCCATACGCTCTGCAGTGGGAGACAGAGCACCAGGCCCTGACTAAGCACTGTGACCGGTGCTTCACAGGACGTCCCAGAAGGGGCAGGGTCGGGGGAACTCAGGCCGTGCTCCAGACGGCAGATGGGGAGTCCAGGCACAGCTTTGCCAGTTAGCAGCTATGTTACCTGGGCAAGTGGCCAAGGCTCTAGAACTCGATTTTCCCAACGGTTCAGTGGGGGTAATTGACCTCCTACAGTTGTTGAGGGAATAAATGGCATGTTGCTTTTAAAGGTGTTTTCACAGTGCCTGTCCTACAGTAAGCACTCCTTAACTGTTGACAGTTCACACCACCATCCTTATTATCAATAGTGTGTGAAATCACTACTTCATACAGAGTAACAACACTCCACTTTCCTCATAAATATGAATGCCGAGGAGTATTAGTACGAGTGGCCTGTACTGAGCTGCTAAATCCTGCCTTTAATACAAGAAGACTGGACTTGTCACCCCTAGGGAACATAGTAAGGTGCTTCCCTTCCACCATGAATTTTCCTGCCTGGTGCTGGGTAAACATTGACCTACGTGATGTGGTCCCAGCCCTTGGGAAGTTTATAACCTACTAGGGGACATAAGCCCCATTCAGGAATAATTGCAGTATAACCTAGAACATGATGAAAACAAATAAGGGCCTTAGTGAGGGGTGGGGTGGGGAGGTGTGCTAAGCTTCTTCAGTCATGAGTGACTCTTTGTGACCCTACGGATTGTAGCCTGCCAGGCTCCTCTGTCTATGGAATTTTCCAGGCAAGAATACTGGAATAGGTTGCCATTCCCTCCTCCAGGGGATCTTCCCAACCCAGGGATTGTACCCGTGATTCCTGTATCTCCTGCATTGGCAGGCATGTTCTTTACCACTAGCGCCACCTGGGAAGCCCCAGGGTGGGGAGGAGCTGTCATTAAATGTCTTCTCTGGGAAGAGATGACACATCTGAAGGCAAATCACTACCCACACATGAATGACCTGAGAATTGTCAGGTGTAAGAAGTAAACCTGTTAACTGATGCCTGTATAATTTACTGTTTACAGATTAGATTTGGTACTATAATTTTCAGAAGGTAAAAGTCCAGCCTTTTGCATGTCCTCAGTTTCCTTAGTTGGACACTGGTGTCAGGGTAGGTGCAGACCACTGTCATGGGCCAGGACATCAGGTGCTATCCCTTCAGGAGAGGTGTCTGCAGCGTGGCACTCGTGGAAGCCTGGGACATGCAGGTTTGTCAGGAAGGAGTGAGAAGGGCCTCAGTATACCCGGGGTTGGGGGGAGCCTTGGCCCCAGGAAAGGGAGCTGATGGGCCAAGATCCGCAGAGGTGAGCAAGTAGCCAAGACAAACAGTGAAACGTTCAGGTAGGGGGCAAGCAGGCTCCTTGTAACATTAGCACTCTTCTCTATTGTCTAACCTTTCTGGAATTCCACAGCGATGGAATTCACCCAGGGTGACTGAATAACAACAAGGAACTGGGTCAGGCTCTGAGAGGAAAATTCCATGCTGGGTGTACACAGAGGCTCCCGTGTGCACCTCCACAAGGCGAGGCAAGCCAGACAGGACCCAGCTTGGGGTGTGATCCTCCTCTCCCACGGCACTGGGTCATGCAGGAGCTGTGGGCCACTTCAGACAGCCAGAGATGACCTCCCCCCAGCCGTGGCCTGCTCTGCTGCAAGGCCCAAAGATGGGAAGCAAAGCGCAGACCTGCTGGCTTTTACCCTGGCTTTTGGAACACAAAATCACTAGACAGAGTCTTTCCTCATGAATCCTCAATGGCTCCCCACTTCCCAAGATCAAGTCCATACCCTTCCCTGACCTTCCAGGACCCACATGCTCCTTGCATTTCTCTGAGCTGCCTCTTAGACTTGACACTGTGGGCAGTATATGAGCCTGCCATTCCTCTTACTGGGCCAGCTCTCTCCCACCACTGAGCCTCTTCTTGTCCCTGCTGCTGGAATGCCCTCTAGACCCACTTCTGCCCTCTGGTAGCCCTGCCATGGCCACACCAAGTAGGATTATGACCCACTGCCTTCTGTGCCCTCAGTATCTCTGCCATCACAGCCCTTCTCACACCATCCTCCAACCACCTATGACTTGTCTATACACTCATTAATAGTCCTAATCAGAGTAGTGAGAGCTGGGCTATGGGTATGGCTCTCATTTGAATCCCCAGCACTTGCACTGTGCTTGGCCTAGAAGATCCTCTATAAATCTTATTAAATGAATCAATGGCTAGTTGGATGGGCAGATGAATGAAGGAATAAGTGAATGAACACATGAACAAACTCCTTAATGAGAAAAAAGAACAAGTCTGAGCCAAAAGAGTCCTGGAGGTGGTTGTGGTAGGGGGATTTCTAGAGCAGAAGAAAGGCTCCAGATCCCCCAAGAGGCAGAACCAAAGAGCAGCCAACCCTGATGCCTCAGGAAGTTTGTCTACAATGGTCCTCTCCATCTCTCCTTAGAATCATCCAGTCTCACCTCACTGTCCTGACCCCCCTCAAAGCAGTCACCTCTGTAGAGCTAGAGAACATCAAGTCACTCCTCCAGCTTCCTCACTGCAGATGACAACTCTCCAAATGTGAGCCATGGCCCATGTGGTTCAGGATAATCCTCAAAGCAGGCAGAGAATGGATCCCAAACTACCCCACCTTTCTACCATTCTGACTTGGGGCTGCCCCCAAAGTCCATGGACTTCTAGTTCCCCCATCATCAAGACTGCTTTCCTGGTAATCATTGAGTTATAAGGGGCTACTAAAATTGGGCACCATCGTCTTTATTTCACTCCTTTCCAGTTCTTTACTACACCGAGTTCTTCTTCCATAGGGAAGTGAGAACAGGTTGCAGCCTCAGTGAGCTGCAGCAGCTCTTTGGGAATGGGGACCCCATAAAGCCAGCTCTAAGCCCACTGGGGCTGGAGCCTACCCTAGGCTTTAGGATAAGGTGCTCTTCCTGCTGCTGCTGGGGATCTGATGGTGAGACCACCCAACTTTCCAGGGCTATATAGGATTTTTTTCATGTTACTATGTATGTTTATATGCAAACACTTATATAAACACACGTAAATATATATACGTGCATATATGCTTGCACAGTCTGTGAATATTTTGAAAATATATCTTGAGAAACTCATAACAATGATTGCCTTTGAGAGAAGACTGGGGGTCACAGGAGGAACACTTAGACAGTATATCGTCTTATACCTTTTGAAGCTTCCTATGTATTTTTGTATTACAAATACTATAAAATTTTTAACCAACTAATAAAAATAATTAATCTCCATCAATGATGTAGTTAATCAACTTTAATATTGCTATTATGACTTAAAACCTGTCTGAATATACACTGTGGGTCAGATGCTTTTGAGATTAAGAAATCAATCACCTGACCTCAGTTATTTTCTAGGACTTTGCTTTTAACAACATGGTAACATTTTGTAGTAAATGAAATCAGCAATATATTTTGCTTCTGCAGACTTTTTGGAAATGTGACACATTAATATTTGGGAAAACAGACTGTCTCAAAAACTGAGCATCTGTTTTGAATCTTTCTTATGTTTCCCTCTGTACTTGTTGGTTGAATCACACACTGTGTTTCTGCTAAAAAAATAAATACAAAAGACAATTGATTCAATATCCAATTATGATAACAATTCTCAGTAAAGTGGGTATATAAGGAATATACCTTAACATAATAAAGTCAAATATAACAAGCCCACAGTTAACTTCATCATCAGTGATGAAAGCTGAAAACATTTCCTCTAAGACTAGGAACAAGACAAGGAAATCCACTCTTACCACTTTTATCCAGCATAGTATTGGGAGTCCTAGCCATAGCAATCAGAGAAGAAAAAGAAATAAAAAGAATCTGAATTTGAAAAGAAGTAAAACTGTCACTGTTTGAAGAAGACATGATACTATACAAAGGAAATCCTAAAGGAAATCCACCAAAAAACTATTAGAATTCTTCAATGAATTTAGTAAAGTTGTAGGATACAAAATTAATATACAGAAATTTGTTACTAACAATGAACTGACAGGGAAATTAAGAAAACAGTCTTTTTTACAGTTGCATAAAAAATACACAGAAATAAGTTTAACTAAGGAGGTAAAAGACTTGTACTTGGAAAACTACAAGACATCAATGATGACACAAACAGATAGAAAGATACACTATGCTCATGCTCATTAAAATACTTAATATTATTAAAAAGACCAGACTCCTTAAGATAATCTACAAATTAAATGTGATTCCTATCAAAATATCAATGACATTTTTCACAGAACTAGAACAAATCATTCTAAAATTTGGATGGAAATACAAAAGACCCAGAATAGCCAAAACAATCTTAAGAAAGAACAAAGCTGGAAGTATCATGTGCCCTGCTTTCAAACTATACTAAAAAGCTACAGTAGTCAAAATAGTATGGTACTGGTACAAAAACAAACAAATAGACTAATGGAATAGAATAGAGGGTCCAGAGATGACCCCACACTTATATGGGCAATTGATCTACAACAAAAGAGCCAAGAATGTAAAATGGGGAGAAGACAGCCTCTTCATTAATGGCTTTGGAAAAACTGGACTACTGTCTCACACCCTATATAAATGCAAAATACATTAAAGACTTAAATGTAAGACCTGAAACTATAAAACTTCTAGAAGAAATCAAAGGCAGTACATTCTTTGACATCAGTCTTAGCAATATTTTATAATCAGTCTTCTCAGGTAGGAAAACAAAAGCA